AGTCTGTGGGAGGATGTGGCCATTAAGTCAGTTGACATTTTGAAATCTGTGAGGGAGACGCATGGTTCTATAGTGGGACCTCTGCGGATATGTTTAAATGAGACGTTACAGATGAACTTCACTTGTAAACAATCTGAAGCTGCTATTTACCTCACTGTAGCCGAACACAAAGCTCTGTGCGGGCTCGCTCACATTTGAATATACAGAGGTTGTCACAGGAAAACAAAATATGAAATTAAGTTTGTAAGTGGTTCTGGTTTTTTTATCCCAGATTTGGGTCATCACAAATCATGACACCAGCGTCTCTCTTGAAAGATACAGTGTGTAACTTTCTCAATGTGGCTTGTCACCTGCAAGATTCCACAGAAATAGAAAGTTAAAACCAAACTCCACGGAGATAAATGTGTTTTATGCCATACTGTGGAATATTTTAGCCAAATATGAGACAGGTTTATTTAGCCCTTGAATCTTTCACACTGTAGAGACGCAAATCTGCTTAGAGTAAAGACAGCTTTTCAGTGCAATAAATACAACTGAAATGGAAAAAAAAAGTGTCTATTTTTGGCTGTTAATGTACATAATATGGCTTTAAGATCTGTGGAGAAATTGCACATTTTATATCATTTATACAATTGTTTTTATTTTTTTTTATGGTGAGTACAAATCTGTGACCAGTCTACAGTAAGTATTATTTCCTTTCTATAGCCTATATAATGTATCTATAATGTATAGATGTATAATGCGACTGAAGGAAAAAAAAGAAAAAAATATTGATGTATATTCTCCCCCTAAGGAGTATACCTGAGGAATCTAACCAATCAATACTCTTCGCTCATGGTATGTGGAAATAAATGATGTGTAATTTATCAGCTCAACCTAGAGAATATGTCTTACTGTTCATTTATCAAAAACTAAACAACTCATGATAAAACAGCCTTAAAATTAAACACATATTGCACGTCAAAAATATGTTATACTCAATAATCTTGAACTAAAATATTATCTTTCGAAACAAAATCTCTCATAATTGTTTTGTAGAGAGCAGAAAATGGATAGAATGATAGAGTGACTGACACTGGACCATTGTGGCAGCTTTTAAAGACGCCATTTTGTCGATCAATTGAAATCGCATTACGTTGCCTCCTCTATTATAACAACAGCATCATTTGTTTGAGAAAATGGCTCTCATAATCTTGTTCACCTCATTTACAGCAGCTAAGAATCTTTGAGCAGATGTAGATGAGCGAGGCTTCAGAAACTGGGTGAGAGAAATTGTTGGATGTGGTGTCGACTAATCCAGATGCCCTGGAGTTCACATCGTTTTAGCCGGTTACACGCTTCGCTCCCTTGTGGTATTCGCGGAGCACGTCTAGTGAAAGGAGCAGTGGCCGTTGTCAATTAAGTTTTGTTTGAAGTCTGGAAGGCCATTAAAATCAGGTCTCAAGTCAACATTTGGTTAAGTTCCAGTCTTTACCGTTTTTCTTGGTTGCTTTTGCTAATGATTGGATAGCTTCCCTCTGGATTGCATTACCAGAACATATATGACCTAATTTTTTTGATGTGAAAACCTGACTTGGACTTTGAAATTGCTAATTGATTAACACATTGAATCTTTAGAGACTACGTTGGATGATTCTCTCACCAAAACCCATTCACTGTTCTGCAAAGGATTTTATTGTTATGAGTAATTGGACAATTATTTGCGTACGTTACAACTATAATGTCGCACTATGTAACTTTTCTAGACGAGTACCTGCCACCTGCTTGTCTCCATGGAGATATTGGGGTTGGATATCATAAAGAAGTTGCAGATACGATACATACCTCGATACATAAGCCACGATACGATACATACCTCGATACATAAGCCACGATACGATACATACCTCGATACATAAGCCACGATACGATACATAGCTCGATACAGTGGGCTTTCGATTTGGTACGATTCAATACGATATATTTCAAATCGATTCAATATGGTTCAATAAAAATAAAGGCTAATTCAAGGCTGTGATACTAAAAGTCTTTGTTAAACCACTTCTTGTGCAAAATTCATATGAAACACGCACATTTTAATCCTCAAAACAGTGAAAAAATGTCAAATGTGTCGCATAAGAGTTTCCTTCCACTAAACAAGCAACAAAACTGTAGCGCTGTAACAAAATAATTTAGTAAAATATACCAAAAAATACTCTCGATGATATATCGATACAGCAGCCCATGATATCGATACTGTATCTTCACATTAAATAATACTATATATCGATATTTCAACATTTTTGCACACCGCTAATTGAGATTTTAATATTTTTCCTGGAATGTTCCACATTTATCGATATTGACAAAAGCAGGTGACACCTACAGGTCATATATGTAGTAAGACTGCATGTTTTAATCAATCAATCGAGATGCAAGATAGACTGTCTCCATGGCGATGGTATTGCTTCCGCTCAAATGCTCCACAGTATGGGATTAAAGTTATCTTTCTTCTCCATGTACTTAATTAACTACAAGTTAGAAGAGTTTAACACCACTATTGTGAAACATTTCAGACAACTCCAAGTATTAACATCTCCAAGTGTCTATTTTCATTTCAAACCAGATTCCCAGCGTTTATATTTTTGTTAACAGAATAGTGGCCTCAGTATGTTTGGGTCTTCGTGTATTGTTAGTCCACTCTGACAGCTGTAAACAGTATTAAACCTTGCGTCCAAAAATGGTCCAATTAGATCGTGGCACCACCTGCTTTCCCGGGTGGCATCAGCTGTCCGTCGGTGCCACCGTGTTGTGTAACTTCCCGTAAATTGGACACCTTCCTCAAACTTTACCGCTGCATGTGCATCGTTTTCTATGAACTGTGGAACCTCCGTGACCTGGATCTCTGGGTCACAACAACTGCCCAGACAACGCAGCTGAACTTTAATTTTCTTGACCATAAAAAAAATCCACAGGTGTATAGTGCGTGTATGTGTGTGTGTGTGTGCTCGTGTGTGTGACACTGTGCGGCCTTGTGATGAATCTGCGGGCGTGTATTACAGTCCGCTGACCCTGGACGGCCGGTTCTAGATCATTGCAGTTGTAAAGATGCCCTCACAGACAGGCAGGTCGATGATGACATTTACTAGCGTTCCACCTGCTGAGCAAATTTCTCACAGATATAAAATAGTGTTTCCCGTGGGCCCCTTACGGAAAACTTTGAACAGATTAGAAAGATGTTGCAGATTTTGGGGTTATTGGTGGTTATTTGGAGAGTCTTACTTTGAAATTCATGAAATATCCAAAAGGTAAAAGCACAGATGTTTAACCTGATCATTTCTATGACTGAGTCGACTCAAGAGACAACAGACATTTGCATTTTAACAATATTCATTTCAGTGATGCCATGTGAAACACAGCAGTGAACAGTATTTGTAGGACTTTTGACCATTCAGATGAAGGAATATTTTGTATTGATTTGTTTGAATTGCTATGGCAACAGTCACAGGTCCATCAAATAAAATCCATGGAGAAGATTTGTATTTTTATGTCATTGTGTGAAGTCAGGGTTACCAGGGGCAGACTGTTCATACAAGAAAGAACTGGAGGAACTTTTTAAACTCATTTTATGACTTCTTCTAGACCCTACTTAAAGTGCACTATGTAACCTCCCAGTGGAGAGATTGGCACCTACTTGTCTCCAATGGAAATGCTATTGCACCTGGAACGTACTGTGGAACATTCGAGTGTTGCCATGGAGAGAAGCTGGTTCCTCAAAATGTTGTGATGGACATTTTATAACAGAAAACAGAGCGTCTTTTATTTAGCTGAAGGTCTCCGAGTTGGACAGTGTGATAGTTTGATTAGAATCATAGCAGACTTTGTGTCCAGTGACTAATTGAACGATAACTCATGAAACAGTCAAACACATAAAAGACAAATAGTTTTCATGATTATCGAGAAGTTTAGCTGAGCTTCCCAGCACTTTGCTCTAATTCATTCTTCCTGAAATGGCTGTGCGGCGTGACTGTGTGAGTAAATGTTTGTCTCGTGATAGATTTACACATAAACCATTACACCCAAATTTATGGAAGGCAGAAGATGAGAACCTGCTGCTCGTAAATCTCCACGTAACATTGAAGGAGCACACAGATCAGACCCGTATTTCCCGTCTCTGTGTGGCTCGTGAGTTATTAGTCCACCAGTGTAATTAAAGGTTGACCATGTGTCACGCCGCACATGTGCTTGTGTAGATGTTACGGATGTATTATGTATGGGAGTGTTTAAAATCGCAAGTAAATCATTCAAACAGGAGGTCTAGGTCTTATGAAAAGCTATTCGATTTAACCTTGGGCTGATTAAAAATGTACTGTATGTACACTTGGAGAAGGCTACTATTTTTCATAAATATATTGACACAAGGTTGAAACTAGTAAAATGTTTGAGAAGCATCCAGTTAATCGTTTCAATATCTTGTTTGGGAGTTCAAAACAAACAAAAAAAATCTATATTTCTCAATTTCTCATTTCTAAATGTGTAAGAGAGCTATAATTGAATGTGAAGTTATAGAATGTGAGCCACTAGTCTTTAGCTTGTGTACCTTTTATGAAAATTGCAGGGGCGCTGCTAGCCAATGTACAAATCTGCCAAATGCTTGGAACCCCCCTGACCACTAGGGACCCCAGAGAGCAGGAAACCCTTATAAAAAAGAAACAAATCAGTAGAAATAGGTTTTCAGTGGCTAAACTGTTTAAAACATTGGCCTATCAACAGTGTGTATTGGGAAGACATTTCTTTTGTAGCTAACCAACTTGCTAATTACTTGATAATTGCTGATCAAACTGCAAATTATGTAGTTTATCAATTTGACATTTCCAAATAAACAGTTAGTACATCCAATTTTACAATAACTGTTTATTATTATTTACTGCATCACTGAACAATACCTCATGCCTACAATAGCAATAAATTGTTTCCTGAGTCTGTCCACAAACTCACAGAAATGCCTCTTGTGTCTCCAGGTTCCATCGCGGGGACTACCACATCGACGTGTGCATAAACGACTACCTGGATGTGTACTGCCCCCACTACGAGGAGAGCGTCCCCGAGGAGCGCACAGAGAGATACGTGCTCTACATGGTCAACTACGATGGCTACAGCACATGCGACCACACGGCGAAGGGCTTCAAGCGCTGGGAGTGTAACAGGCCCCACTCCCCCAACGGGCCGCTCAAGTTCTCCGAGAAGTTCCAGCTCTTCACCCCCTTCTCCCTGGGCTTCGAGTTCAGACCGGGACGAGAATACTACTACATCTGTGAGTAATCTGGTCATATACTGTTTGTACCTTAACAGCTTAGTCACGCTCATGAGACCAACCCGGAGGTCTGGGGCTTATGGGAAATCTGTTTTATCCAGTCTGATCATGAAAACCACCTGGTGACATGTGTCAGTTAATCTGTGCATTTTTAGAGTAACTGTTGTATTTGGAAGATAAAGTGCATTTTTATTTTGTCTTTGCCAATAGTTTGCCCTTTTCTTGAATAATTCCCCTTGTCAAAACATGTTAAGATTCAGGAAGAAGTTCAATTCCTCAAATCAATAATAATAATCTGATAACTCCAGAAATCAGATAAAGATTTTGTTGTGTATAGCCATTGCAAAAAGCATTTGCAGTAAAATCATCCAATCCACTTTATTTATATAGATAAGATTTAATAATACTAGTCTTAAAATAATAAAACCAGTAAAATAAAATAAGAGCAAAGTCATAGAATAGCACTAACTACATAAAACCAGTAAAATACATAAAAAATAAATAAAATAAATAAAAGACAGAGGACCACACAACTCACGCGGTGTTAAAAGCCAGAGAATAAAAGTGGGTTTTAAGACAAGGCTTAAAACATTCCACTGTGGGGCTGTTTGGACGTAGAGGGGCAGAGTGTTCCAGAGCTTTGGGCCACAGAGAAGACTCTATCCAGCCTGGTTTTAAGTCTCGTCTTAGGCACCACGAGCTGGAGCTGGCCCTCAGACCTCAGAGCACTGGTGAAGGTGTAAATTTGGAGAAGGCTATTTGGTACAGTCGTACATTATACTTGTACATTACCTCATCAAATACATACCTGGACTTGTGTTTTGCTTCATTCACACATGTTTGAGTAATCCTTTATTATTAGTCTGTCTGCATCTCCAAAGCTCGAAATGCTCTGCTCCACCTTGTGATGTCATGAAGAAGTAGCTTTAGAAATTCCAGGGCTGAAATTATCCAAATGATTCTAGTGAAGTATGGGGTTTAAAAACACAATGGAGCACTTCCTGTATCACCACATGACATCACAAGGTGGGACAGAGTCTTTACAGTTTGACAAAAGAACACAATATGCATGTTTATGTGTTACAAGTGTGAATGAAACAAAACACAACTCCAACTATGTTTTTTGATGAGGAAACAACATTATAACATAGATCAGAAAATTGCGCAATATGGGGATTTTATTTGACAAAACAGCTCAGATTTACTTGGGCACTTTATTATATTGTGTATATTGATTCTACAAGTCTACATAACTTCCTGCCCTCTAAAAGGATGAATGCAATACAAGTTTGCGTATTAAGGTTTATGCCATGCTATTATCCAAGTAAGTAAACAAGACTTAAGGGTAGAATTACTAACAATGCACTATTAAATTACTGTGTTATTAGAAATTCCTTTGTTGGGTTTGGTGCAGTGCTGAAGGAATTAATGTCAACCTAATTCAGATTTACAGAAACAAACCTTATGAATGTGGAAATACACGTGTAAACACTTTTTGTAGTATGCAGAGAGTTACATACTGTTTTTATACTAATACAATTAGACATGAAGACATTATATACAAGGTGTTAAGTTTTATTTGATTCCATCTAAGGTTAACGAAGCCTCCCACAGCTATACAGTTATAAAATCTTTATTTACTTAAGGCATTTTTTTTCAATTACGCACAAATGATTCATAGTTTTGTGTGTCTGGTCTGAAAAAATACTGCTGTGATAAAACAAATATGTCTTTATCATTGTAATTATAGTTTGTGAGAAAGTTTACTTTAAAATACTTAATTTATTCTGGTGAGAAGGCGTCTGCTACCTCTTTTCCAAAAAACAAATCCACTTTCGACTATAAAGAAATGGTTTTGCCATCCAAGACGCAGTGAGTATTTAAGCCATAAATAATGCCACCTCAGCTATGTATCTTATCTTTAAAGGACAATTTACCAGCTTAGAAATAACACATTGCTGTCTTTATACTCTATGTATTTTGCTCCATTTTATAAAAGTTGGAAGAAGTCAACTTTAATAGGAGTGGAAAGCATTTGGTAGAACTATATTAAAGCCACAGTATGTAACTTTTCAACCAAAAATAGACTAGAAGAATAGAACTGAAAAGGCATTTGGTTGTGTTTATTGAATTGAAACTGGAAAAACAAGCATCCTTGGTCCCGGTCAAGCAGAAGTAAACATCAAGGCCAAAAATTCAAGTTAATGCATCTGATATAAAAATGTATTCAACAGATACATATGTACTCTAGTTTATGAAACGGTTTACCTTTTTTCTGTACCATTTTTGGTTCTAAAGTTACATACGCTTTAAACAGACCATGTATGAAACATGGAACAAAAATTATTTCCCAAATTTCAAAGACCTGCAAAATCATGGATAAATAAATGGATGTATTTCATCATATCTTGTGTTATTCGATCTTTGAACTGTTGATGAAGGTACATGATTTTTCAAAAAAAATTTATTTAAAATAATAAAATTTTGCTTGGAAGGACTGACATATTTTATAGAAATAGTTTCCTTTCATTTTGAAGTAATATTAAAGTATTCGGAAGAAAAAATCTGACAAATTATGCAAAATCATCTTTCTACTTGCTTGCACAATTTTCCCTCCGTTACATGATCTTTCTTAATAAAAAATCTCATTACTCAAAAAGTAAGAGGTTTTTCAACCTAATCTTGTACCATATGGTAGAAAACTATATGAAGCAAATATTCAGACCAGTTTGTTAAGGATATGTAAGTGAGAACCACTAGTTATCACTGTTTGTATTTATTGCCCAAAAAGTGCTGCATATTTCATTCCCTCCATTACTGATATGAGTTTTTTAATTTTTTGTCAACAACTTGAAAGAATATCGCAGGGTTTAACTTTACCCTGTTGGAGTGTTAACTCTTTCCTACATTCTGATACTTTACTTATTTCAATAGTCCCTCTAGTTTTTGAATAATAGCTATTTGAATATAAAAAATCTGCCCGTTTCCCTCCGTTACCGCTTGACCGGACCCACTATGATTGTGCTTGCATCTCCACAAACCTGACTCATATTTGGCCGCCTTGTTTCCATGGAAATGTTCCTTTGGCTGTTATTTTCCACAGTATGGCAGCAAAAGTAACTATATTCCTTTTAACTTTCTGTTTCCATGGAATTATGCAGGTGGCGTATTACCTCCAGAAAGACACATACTGTACCTTTAAAGAAAAAGTTAAGAAATAAACGACTGCTATTTATCCCAGAGAAGAGTGTAGTAGTAGTCTAAAATGTATAAATGTCCATTAAGGAAGAGTTCAAGGATTCAAACTTGCCATCTAAAAATTACAAAAAAATCTAAAAATTACCCAATAAGAAATCCTATATATGTGCACTGTCTTCTAACCATATTATATTCCCCATCACACACACACTAGCTCTCTCCTCTCCGCCCTATCATCTTGCCTTCTGCCTTTTCAAAGCACCATTACTGGAGCTCTTCACCCGGCTCTCATCACAGTGGGAAAAACCTGCTTCTAAAATGGCAATAGAATTCACATGGGGTATTGCTAGATTGAGACAGTTTGAAAGTTATAGGCCCGCTGCACACAATACGCCTTTGTTGATGAAAAAAAGGCATGTTCTAGCTATTTTATGTGCCTTTTGAGCTCATGTTTGTGGTTAAGTTGTCTAGTTCTTGGCGTCAGAACTGAGTCAAGAGCAGTTCATCTGAAGTTGAAACCCGAGGGAAATTACGTTTTATCAAAGCAAGGTGATGGAGTGGAATTGTGATCGGTTGGTTCTCCTCCCACCGTGGACTGTGCATAGGCGAGATATAGCAGTCACTGTCAGTAGGCGTAGCCACTTTTACTAGCATTCGTCACAGTGGAACGCCAATAATACTGAATGGGAAATCAAAATGTAGGTGGGAGTCGGATAGAGGCCCCCTTAAAGTGTTATGACTTGAACAGCTGGTGAAATATAAAAGGAAAGATGGTTTCTTCACTATCTGGTGGGTTGACTTTAAAATGCATGCAATGATAAGATTCCAGCAGCAGTAAAAAGGTAATAAAAGTGGTTCTTGAAAGCATCCATTGTTGGTTTATTGCTAACAGCTTGCATGAAGTTTCGAAGTTTGTTAGTCAAATATAATGGATGTGTATGAATGTCGGGGATTACTTAAAGGTGCACTGTGTAACTTTTCTGGTGGAAGGGCCGTTAGCTCCTTGTCTCCATGGAGATGTTGCTTTGTTCAGAACGCGCTACAGTATTGCATTAAGCTGGAGTTAAGTTTTGCGTTTTGGCCTTTCATCCACACGGAGCCGGCGTTTCGGGTGGGAGAAAACTGAGAACGGAGGCGTTGCGTTGTCGTGTGGACAAGCAAACCGCAGCTTTTGGAAAACGATGATGTCGCGACCCTGTCATCACCACGTGACCAGAAGAGAACCCCACACAGGAAGGACTTTATGCGCATGAGCTCTTTGTAGTATTGTGTGTCCAGTGGCTCTGGCTGTATCCTGTATACAGCACCACCTATAGTAGGTTTTGATTGATTGATTGATTGGTTTTTATTTCAAGTTTGTTCCAAGAGAGAAGCAATAATCATATATACGACATATACATTGTAAACAACAGAAAAGCACATTTTTTGAAAAGGAGTGGGAAGAAGAAAAACTTATATGAACCCACCCCTGTTCATGACATAGTTTCAAAAATTATGTGGTTGCTTCTGTACATTGATCATGGAACTTAACAAATATTTACATATAGCAAAATAAATTACATATTATGCATACAAAATATAATAGTATTACAGGTGTGGCATAAGTATTACGTAGTTTTCACTCAGTGCTCCCTTGTTGTCTGGATGTGGATATTTATTGATCCAAAATGTAGTTGGATGTGATTTTTTTGTCAACCCACCAAAAAAAATAAATAAATAAATCCTGAAGCGTTGTCATGTGGACGTAGTCTACATGTCTGTCTCTTATTTATCTCCATGGAGACAAAATAGTGACACCACCA